GGCTCCTGCCCCTCCCTTCCCCACCCCCACCCCTTCCCGAACTGAAAGACAACAAACCTGTCGCGGAGTGCCGGCAGCCCAGGCACCGACCGCCCTGACCGCGACAACACCACCAACAGCTCGCGTACCCCGTCTCCGACTGCCGCCGGCCTCCCCCGCGCGCGTTACCGCTCCCGCCGCCGCTCTTACTCCTCAACCGAAACTTTCCTACTTACCAAACCCGTCGCCATTACCAAGTCTTTCAAGCTTCGTCTTCCCCCTCCCCTCAACCCCCCGGGGGTTGAGCCTCCTCCCAGCTCTTTCGCCCTCTTATTGGTTTGTGGATCTGCCATTCGGCCCTTCCCCATTCCCATTGGGTGATGCCATGGTCCGTCTCTGGGGGCGGGCATGTATTGACTTTTGTGTTGTGTTTACTGGCGAAGACGATGCGTCAATCATTAGAGCAAGTGCTTTGGATTGGACTAGCGCCGAGACTCCGGGGACCCGAGCCAAACTTTGCCCCCGAAATGGATTGTGGGTTCGTAGTCCCAGCCTTGCTCCTTAGCTCTCGGAAATTGCAGGCCGAGAAACCAGTTGGACTACATATCCCAGCAGTACGTTCACAGTGCAGCCTTGATAGTAAACAAGAGTCATAGGGACACGTGTATCAGCTCGTTTGTTTTGGTGCCTGGGACAAAAGGGAGGGGGCGGAGGAAGCGAGTGTTTTAAAGCTTGGGCCTCTTCTCTTCCTCTGGTCCTCTGCTAACACTTAGAGCGGCCGAAGACTCTCGAAGCACCCATTCCGGGCCATAAACAGGCAGAGTCTCTCGCTGCTCAAAGTTTGGCAGGAGGCCAAGGTATTGTTTTAGTTCGAGGGGAAGGAGATGACCGCACAAGCGGAAGCAGTGCAGGCTTGCGAGGGACTTTGTCACCCACAAATCAGGGTCCCAGGCACGATGGGGACGAAAGTGATGCTAGGCTTGTTGCTGAAACCGCAAGGGGGTTTCGATCTAGGTCCAGTTACTCGTGGCACAGATCCAATTATTGAGATAAGGTGAATTGGCAGGGAAGAAAGGAATTTTCGACAGGATGTCTTGTCGGGAGAGATCATGGGCTTTTACAAGAGGGGCCACGTTCCTTGCGGCAGGTCGTGGTGTAACTAACAAGGGGCTAAGTGCTCTGGGGCAGTCGTGGGGGATGGTGATTCTTGGCGTCAGAAATCTTACTCTAGGGCCTTCGGAATCTCAACTCCTTTGTCTTGCAGAAAATCCACCATTTCTGCGAAACAACTCAAAGAGTTCAAGTAGTTAGTGAAGGGAGGAGATTATTTAAAAAACATGTGGGGTTCATGGTTACAGGCTCCACCCGCAGAAGACCAAGAATTCCTTTATCCTGTGCCTTGCCTCACCACCCCAGGACAGCAAATTGAGATTTCTTTGTCAACTCCATTCAGTTCACCCAAGCTTTGTTGAACGCCAGCTGAGTGCCTGGCACTGTGGGGCTTGCGGATGGACTATGAGGAGCTCAAGGTCTAGAGAATTTACAAAGCTTGGTGGGGGAGAGGAGAAGGACGATTACTTTAAAATTGAGGAAAGTCAGAGCGGTTTTCCATATTGACTACTTTGCTTGTTGGTTAACGTAGTACAGAGGGGTATAATGTATGACCTAAACTGATTTACTTCGTGAATTATCATCTGTAAATTTCACTAGTGAATGAATTTTGTTAACCATTTTCCCGCTCCAGACAGCTTCGCATAGATGAAAGAAAGAAAACTGTCTTTACACTTCGTTTCCACTAGGGGTTCCTCCTTAAGTTATTAATGCTAATACTTCTGACTCACCAAAGGAGAATGAAGGCTTCTCCGCTTTATAGTTACCTTCGCTTTAAACATGGCTGTCCATCAGAGTCGGGTGGGCGTCATTAAGCCTTTTTTTCCTTTGAACCCTTAGTGTTTAATCATGTAAAGCTATGCTTTAGGTTTTATATCTTAAGATTACTAAATGTATGCTTAAAATTAAGATGAAAACCTACATTAGTAAGAAATCCATAAAAGCAAACTTTTGGAAAAAAACTGAAATCATAGCTAGTTATTTCTTTAAAACCTCCTACATTTCTTGAATTTTTAAATGTACCTGAAAGCCACATAACAAATCAAGAAATCCCAAACAACCTCCCCTATGTTGAAACAAGTTTAAAAATTCCTTTAAGGGTTCCCCATTTGAATCCTTGAAGTGAAATTATTTATAGTCTTCCCTACCACGTGATCAAAGATTTACTTCCTGTGTTTCACAAATAGTAATGGAACACTTTATTTTTTCTTGAAATAATTCGAGGGGGGCAAAAAAGTGCTTAATTTTTTTCCCTGAGGAAAAAGGACAGGATTTGAATTTATCATTTTTCAGTGGTGAATAGAGTGACTCAAACGGAATGTCTGTCTCTGCTACTTTGTGTATGCTCGTGTATTTTTTTCCTTTTATTTATTTTTTACATTGGAGGGTCATTGTGTCCCAGAATTGAATAAACTCCAGCATTTAATTTCTTCACAAAAAGAAAAATAAATCAGTGGAGTTTTCCTAATCATTTAAAATTAAGATCTGAGATATTTACGTCTAACTCCTAGGAAACTAAAGAGCTTTTCTCTCAAAAAAAAGAGCTCTCAAAAGTTTGACACACTGTTTTACCACTCTTCAATACACAAACTCTGAGATCTGCTTTCAGCTGGAACTTATTTTAAAAAGTTAAACTATTTGAAAGTTATTACCAAAAGCCTTAGTGGCGATATTTTTTATTGGTGGACACCAGAATGGGAAAAATAAATTCAACTTCAGATCCAGATATTGTACATTATAAATAACAATTTATCCTTTAATAACACTGTAAAGCCTTTTCCATTCATTCATTCAAAAACATTTAGTTCTATCTGTTGACCATTGTGCTAATTGACGAGAATACAAAGATTTAAAACATGTTTCGCATACTTTATCTCATTTTTGTCCAGGTCTTTAAATAGGAGTTAAAATTCAGATAGTTTAGTCACAACTGATTAAATTACTAGTATTATAATTCTCTACACTTTTAAGTGGACAATTAGGCCTGACTTCTGGCTTCCTTGGGGAGCTAAATGACCACCTTACTAACTTATTTGTATTTAACAGGAACATCATCATTAACTGAGTGACCAACAAAACCAGCCAACTTATTAGCCAGAACAAAGGTCAAAGTACAAAACTAGTAAGATCTTGGAAACTTTTACATATGTAAATTATACTCTTGGACTAAAACAGATACAATTACAGAATTTTTGTCTGTCCTTCAAATGTTTCCATGATAAAACTGACATTAGAAAATCAGTTTCTTTAACACCTTCTCTTGGTTAGTACAAACACAATATCTATACACACATATACACACATAAAATCTATACCAAAATATGTCGAGAAATCTTAAGTCAAAATGTCTTTTCAGCAGTTTATATAATTACTTATGTTATCTTAAACATCAAATTCTGATTTCTCAGAGATAGTAAAAAAACCTAGATAAATCCTATTTAGAGGTGAAATTAAACAATATATTTCCCTTGATTCCACCATATCTGGCACACTAATGACTGTTTTGCTGGACTAAGAATCAGGTTATAGTTAAATCAAGGTGAAGAAAACCACCTCCCTGACAGGTATTTCATTTTTATGTGTAGACAATTACTTCCATATCATATATCACCACATCTTGGCATATATAAATGATATATGTTTCTTCAGGATTTACTGGGCAATTTTAGATTTGTACACTTGGGGCACAAAAACGTAACAAAAGACTTGTATCTGTTGGTCAAATAAAAAGAAGTTTCCCTCTCAAAATAGTCTTACTCTCTGCAGGGGAAACTTCATACAAATTCCTCTGTATACTAGACTCATTAACATTACTTGAAAAATATGTGAGGCCAAAAACCAAAAATTGAACGAGGAATCCAAGAGATTTCAATTCTTGGTGAGTTCTGCCATCAACTTGCAAAGTAAATGACTTTGATGAAGTCACTGATTATCCTTTAGTATACAAATTGTAGTGATTTAAGCTGTCATAATTATTATGGGGCACACAAGTCCTCTGCAAATAACTGGTGTACTTTACTGCTTATGTTTCCATAATTCATTGTACTTAGAAGGTATGTTTTTATACCTGTGAAGATGAACTATTAATACATAGTTTACTATATATTAATAGATAGTTAATTATTAATATATTAATATATAGTTTCAGTTGCTTAACCAGTTTTGCCGCCTTTAAAAGTATTCTGGAACAGGTAAGGTTGTCTCAACTCTTATTCCAATTTCTTCCTTTCTGTCAAAACTCTTTCTGATATTCAACATCAGGCTGTACCTCATACTACTTTTAATTTTAGAAGCCAGCATTCCTTATAACTCTATTTTTCCCTTGGGTATTAGCATTTTATTTAGATATTAGAATCCCCTCTTCAGCGATTTAACAAAGCCTTGGCTTAAGCCAGATGTATTACTTACCCCTCTATGTTTACATGTTATTAATTTTCTTTAAGAATGCCAAAGGTAATCTAATCCTGGTTATAACATTTCTTTACAAAGTTAGGAAAAATTATATCAGTATTTTTAAAGATGCTTTGGAAAAGAACACGGCACTTTTCTTAATCTTATACTTCTCAATAAAATCCAAAGTCCCTTGCTTTATCCCTATTTCACTTTAAAATAGGCTGCTAGCCAGAGGTTGTAATAGTTACCTAAATGCATTGACCCAAGTTGTGTCACAGTAGTGTACATATAAAAATATATGCTCTAGGCCCTAGTTCATATTGATATGCAGGAAAGACATATATATACCTCTTTATATAAAACAAGGTGAAGCACCTTTCTTCTCTGGGAAGAATTCCTAACCCTTTCCTTTGCCACATACAATGCTTTAGGAGGCTCCATTCTTGAATGAAACATCAACAGAGGATTCCCATATAGTAAGGACTTTTGGTTTGTGATTAAATAATGACATCCACAAGTCAAACTTGAGCTGTTTTAATTAGGTAAGTTTACACATAAAGTCCCTAGTTAGCCAGATTTATTTGGTTATTCTAAATGTCTAAATTGACCTGTAACATTACTACAATTATTTCTCTCATACATGACCAATACTTAAAAATTTTTAAAACAAACCGACTGTTACACAGAACTGTACTTTCTTTTTATGTTATGTCTTGGGGCTTAGCTTCCCCATGCCACATCTCTATCACGCTGTTCAGTGCATTATGCATTACGCAAATCATATTAAAGAAATAAGAGAAAAAGTATTAAAAACAGTAATTCATATATTTTATTATAAAGGTGTGCTTTATTATAAGGAAAATTTAAATATAACCAACAATACTGAAAATAATGTAACTGGCATTTATAGCCTTGGTCAGAGTTCTTTATTAAACAGGCATTTGTTTGCTGTTCCATGAACAGTTAACAATCAGCTTATGCAACAAAATAGATAACTTGAAAAAGTGAGTAAGAATACAGAATGATGAACCAGGAATTTGGGATGCTTTTGTGTTCTTTCTTATTTAACAGACATGGCTTTTAAAATAAAATCTGAAATAGAAAAGTCATCTTCATGTAGAGTTCTCTTTTCCTGCAAGGTTTTGCAAAAATGTTAAACAGTATTTTAAAGGTGGCTGAAGTTATGCTTTACATACTTTTTTTAAACTTCTTATATATACATTATCCAATTAACATTCTAACATTTTCATATACAAGTGGGACCATAAACATTCTCTAATAAGACCAGACACAAAATAATTTTACCCATGTATGTATATATTCTTTTGAAACATGTTTCCCAAAACGAAATTGCTCATTTAAAAGCAAACAACTGGTTAGAATGTCTCCAGACACTGGGTCACGGGGCCTAGAATCAGGTAAGAGTATATTGCTTTGGTTGAATATAATTAAATTCACTTTATGTGGCAGCATACTAAGCATATCAATGAACATCTAGTAAGTCAGTGTTCATTCTGTACTTTTAGCTATGAGTCTACATTAAAGTAATGGCGAGGCCTAATGGTCAATGTGGTATGGGCAGAAATTCCTTTCATCTTTTTTGGTTTTGCTTATAAAAAATTTATTTCTACCACCTTAGAGGAAGTTTTTAAGAATAAAAGAGACAAAAACAGAAAATAAACTTCACTGCCTGCTGATCAATGACATTGCGGGTTGGCAACCATTACAAGAATGGAAACCCATGGGAGCAGACGTCTGGGAAAGACTGTGTTCTGTAGGCCTAGCGAAGAACAAAGAAATACCCCGTGGGTGTGCCGATAAGGATCCCCAAAAGGTTTTGATATAAAGAGGGATTTTGTAAAGTATTTATAAGATCTTAGGCTAAGAAGACAAAAAATGTCAGATTTAACAAGTTTAAACAGCTTTTTAAAAAACTTTGTGACATTAAATATCAAGATGAAGTTTTTAAAAATAAAGAATATAGAGAACTGCAAAATGAAAAATGGAAGCAGGTATATGTTTGATGAAGAAAAAAATGCATTAATGATTTCTTATCTAAAAGACTCTTTTTCCCTATTATGACTAAATTGCCTGTCTTTAAAACCACTGGAATATGTAGGTTACTGACATTATGCCAAAGATGTCAAAATGTATTTTATTGCAAAAATATAAAAAGTTTTAAAATTGCATATGATGTTTTATACCATTTCACCAATAGACCAAGGCCAGTACATAACTCATCAAGCCAGAAAAACTTTAAAACAAAAATGATTAAAATTTTACTATGTATAATGAGTTATAAAAAGAATGTGATGCCATGCTGTGTAGCATGATTCATTGCCAAATGCCCTCTTACATGGGGATAGTCACTAATATATCAATCTGAGTAAGTCAAACACATATAGCCTATGATAACATCCTTTAATTATCTTCTTAAACACGGATACTTTCAATATATTACAATCATCTGAATAAACCTTTCAGTCAAATAATTTTATGGAGTAGAAAGTCATTTTATCAGTATGTTGATATTTTTATGAACTACTCTTTAGAAAGTGATGTTAAAGCCTATTGACTATTAAATCACTACTGTTTATTGATACATTGTAAATGTAAAAAAAGGAAAAAATCTGAAATCACAGAAAATGCTTGGCATCTACACAAACACATTCTCAGTGGACTAACCACTACTGTGTAATTTTGTCACTATAGGTCTTCTTGTTCCATACTTTTGCTTCATGCAGTGGGTTCAACAATATCCATGTTTGATCCAAACAGGGCAACTAATTGTTCTTCATAGGTGGCGATATTCCTTTTCATAATTTCCATGCAAGGTCCCAAAAGCCTTTCAAATGCTTGCACATCCATGGCTAAGAAAAAAGAGGAATAAAAGAAAAATAATGTTCTTTGCAAATCTGCAGAGTTTCTAAGACATTTAGGATACCCCTTCCATATATTTCAACAATGCAATAGTATTTTTAGGTAAATATTGCAAAAATACAAGAAAAAGCATAAAGATAAAAATGTTCTACTTCAAAATGGAAGCAGCCAGGGACTTCTTGGGCCACACTTTCCGTAATATGATGGGCAATGATAAGTTGGTGGGAGGTTCCTGGTCTAAGCTGAGAAAAGAATGAGGGATTATTATAGAAAGGCCTTAGAATATTTAAAAATAAATTTTGATGTCTCCATCTTAGTAATACAAACTCCTCAAAGGTGGCAAGGGAGTTTTCTATCCTGTCTTCCCTTCTCAGAGTTTACAATGCCATGTGTGAAGGCCGAATGTTACCTTTTATAATTTTTACTCTTTTATACTATTGTCTGTGCAATTCAAAAGGGCAGCCAACATAATACTTTTGTCAACTTCTATAAAGTACTTGCTTTTATCACTTTGCTTGCCTGTCTCACTCATTTTAAAACTGAATTTATAATAAATACACAGATTGAAAATATCATATTCTCTACCATAAAAATACAAATTAAAATACAACTTTTTGCCTTTCAAATTTGCAAAGGTAAAAAAAGGCAATGTTTACAAGAATAGGGTGAATGGGCATTCTTGCTAGTGGTATGTCAACAGGTACAAATAGATGTGATCTGGCAATATATACCAAAAGTCATTTTTTAAAAAATGCTTCTGAAAACCACTACAAAGGAAAAATTTTATATAGAGAAAAGCCTTCTATGTACAAAAAAATGCTCCCCCAAAAAAGTTGGAACCAAAACCCTCAAATATTTACCAGTGCAAAATGACTAAATAATTTATCATGTGTATATTTACCTAATAGAGTGTTAAAATTTGATATAATAAAATAAGCAAATTCCTAAGCTACAATAAATTTTGAAAGCTGATTACAAAATTGTTTAACACAGAAAACCCAGGTAAATAAAAATAAAGACAAGAAGAAATTATAATAGTGGGAATCACTGAGTGGTGGTGGTGACTCTTATTTTTCCTACATTTCTGTATTTCTCAGATTTTCTTTAATGTGAATATAATTTTTATAGAAAAAGATTAAAAGAATTTCACTCACATCACCTTCACTCTTACTAATAGCTCCACTCAGGGAAACTACCTGTCAGTTTCTAATTGTCTTCTCTTCCATTTAAGTATAACACTTGGTTAATACTATACTTGTTTAAAACCTTTTAAAAAGTGCCTTCTCTAAGAAATTAATTCTGAAGATCCCTGCAAATCTTAACAACATTGAAATTAAGTTTACCCTATTGAATTGTGGATAAAGAGCACAGAGAGGCTAATTACTGTGGAATCAATTTTCTTAAAGAAAATATCATCCGTATTGCTATCTCCTGAATTATAATTTTCAGTGTTAAAGCAAGGGATTTCTCAGATATAAAATCTCAGATACATATAGATGTCTTTGCTGAAGATGGCATTTCTGCCAAGCTACTCTGCTAGAAGAAAGTAATAAACAGCTAAACAGCAAAGAACATACAATTGTGCCTTCACAAACCTGAACCTGTGTGTTCTGCTGCTGAGATGAGTAAGGATTCTCAAAGACATTCCAACCTTCCCTGCAGATCTTAATAATGAATTTTACAAAAAGTATTTTAGCCTTCTCTTTTGAGGAACATGGCACACGTTCATTAAACAGATTAGATATAAAACTTGGTACTTGGAATTCTTGTTTTAATGACTAAAATAAGATGTCATACGTATACAAAAGAACAAAATATATTTGTAAAAATTTTCAAAGAAAAGAATGGCTCACACAAATTGGTTTTATAACGCAATGAGTTCTAAGCTTGTTACATGGGGACCACAAAACTTATGAACTCAGTAAAACGATATGTACAACATGAACGCATAAAATGCAGACATAACAATTTCAACCAGAGGAAGCTTGTGCATCGTTATGATCCCTACCTAAACATTTGACGGTCCCAATGGCATGTGCAGAAGCTGCTCGAGGTTTGTTAGTTACCAGGGCAAGCTCTCCGAAGTACTGTCCCCGCGAACATCGAGCAATTTCTACTGCACCATTCTCTTCCACTTCTGATATACCCTGACAAGGTAATTGAAAATATTAAATTTTCTTCAGCTTATGAAAAGTAAAAGTTAATGTTAGTGTAATGTAAACATCAAAAATCTATTATGTTCCTTGATAATAGTATGGGGTTTTTTAGAACTTAAGAATGCTTACCTTTCTTTTCATAGTAATCTTCACTTCTCCAGATTCTACAATGAAAAAAGAATCAGCCAATTCTCCCTATTAGAATGAAACAACAAAAATAGAGGGTGAAAATGCAAATGTATCTGATAACAATCCTGTTGCTCATCATACGCCTGAAATCAGTCCAACCCAATGTACAGATATTTGCCTGAAAAGTGAAACCCCATGGGAACAGGCTGTCCCAACTTATAAATTGAGAGGTTACGATTGACAATTACATAGTAGTGGTTTCATTTGTAAAAGTATTTGAAATACACTCTCTACCACAGCATTTCTTCTAAAAGCCAAGAAAACGTGGCACATAACACTGGGGTGAGAAATTCCCTCAGGATAACAGCCCACACGGTGAGAAATGGCAACACTGCTATGCATCCCAGCGGCGTCCCCTCAGTCGGCAGGAGTATGTCTGCTGATCTGTGCTCCTCAGGAAGCGCTAAACTGCGCACCTGTGTCCTCCTAACAGAACAAGCCATTGGTGTGGGGAGCCAAGATAACCCACGGACTGGCCAAGAGCAGAAAGCACCCAAATGCAGCAGAAAGCAGATGTGGCCCTTAATTTTTACTACAGTTAAGGACCAAACTCTGAAATGCCAGTCTAGTGATATCTCAAGTCTCTGAAAAGACTACTTAAAGAAAAGCGTTGCTATTTCTAACCCCATGCCCATTTTTTCTAGTTGTCGTTTTCAAATGAACTCTGCCTTGACTTCAAAGGATGCCTTCTGAATTAAACAATACAACACAGAAGATAAATAACACAGACACTGACTCTTCTGAGCCTCTCAAAGTGATTCTAGAGAAACTTAGGTCTTTTAAAACTTTTTAGTAGAAATTCAAAACGATATTCATTTTATTTATTTTTCTATTTGCTTCTGTGGTTGACTTTACAAAATAATCAGTATCAGATTACATCGCAAAAATGTTGACTTTAGATTTGTATAACATATAGAGCAGACATGTATGTTTATAAATACTTACAAAACAACTAATATGTAAAAGTATTTTTAGGTATAGCATATTTCCTCTCAGGTTTTCATGAGAGCCTCACGTTAGATTTTCAAGTGTTTTGAATCATAATAGATCTGTTAGCTGCTGTGTAATGTTTTGCTTGTTTGATCTCAAAGTGTGCTCTAAGTGTTTGTAAAACCGGTGAAATCTGAATAAAGTCTGTGGATTGTGCCAACGTCAGTTTCCTAGTTTTGATACTGTACAATAGCAATGCAAGATGCATTGAAAAAAACTGGGTGAAAAGTACATGGGACTTCTCAGTACTATTTTTGCAATTTCCTGTGAATCTATAATTATTTCAAAATAAAATCTTAAAAAATCATTTAAAACATGCTCTATACTTAATTGTTTACCAATTTATATAGCAGAACCTTAGCTTTGTTTGACTTCACTTTTTCTCAATCCCTGGCTGCTCTAATTATCTTTCTATCCTATGGGGGGTGGTGGTTGAGAGATTTATTTGTTTATTTGCCTTCTAAAACAATTATCTTTTCCTCAATCTCATAGGCCTTGAATCTTGTTTCACATATAAAGGAAGAGACAATATTTCAGATAAAGAGTCCAATAAAGTTATAATACTGTGATACACAAATTACATAATCTATTAAATATCCATTTAAATCATTTGCTCAATGCTTCAAAAATGTAACCAGGAAACAGGGTACTATCATCTGCATGCTTTACCTGTGAACTCCAACTGTCTTCACAAATTCCACTGTTTGGCAGACCTCATTCTGAGGTATATAATATTATTGGTTCCAACTGGGATCTCAGAAAAGCATTAGGAGTTAAGTAACATGTTGGCTCACATTTAGTGCTTAGACACCAATACAGTTTATGGTGCAGTGTGTTCCCTTCTTGGTGAATTTTATCAGGGAGCAGCTTTAGGAGGTTTCATCATGAACTGATCATTCTAAACTATAGTATCTTCCAATGTTATCTTCCAGGTCCTCATGAATCTCATAGAACACTCACTTGGTTTTTCCTTTTATAAATGACATATTACTCTTTATATAGATGTGAATTTCATGTCACATTCAAATATAAAATTATGTAGAAAACTATTGGATGGCTTAATACATATTCATTAAGAGGTAATTATATAAACAAAAATATTTAAATAGTTTAATGGCTATAAATTAAACCATTTTAACAGGTCATTTGCTAGAAGTAATATTCATTTAATCCATCACTGTATACAATTTATAGAAACATATGAAAAGTTTATCAAGATTTACAATGCATAAAAACCTTTTGGAATATAACCCTAAACTGTATTACATTTAAAAATGTTATACCTGAGCAATGATTTGTTCTCCATCGTTGTATACTTTGGTGCCTATCACATCTACTACTTTCAGGCGTTCAGAAACCTACAAAGAAAAAAAAAGAATATTAAATAGAAGCCGATTAATTGCATAATCTTATCTATTTAGAGGTTAAAAACTGGTTTCCTAGAGGCCAAATAAAACAAGCAGTGTGTAGATTGTACGTGTGTTTGTTATACTAATTAACTTTTAGCATTTTAAAATAAACTTTTTATAAAAATTTGAATTTCCAGCTTCTCTTGAAAAATCAGAAGACTCAGCAACACTCAGCCATATTTCCACGTGACAACAATAAAAGTATGGTGGAATAACAGCTGTTTCTTTAGATGGAGTACATGTTCTCCAGTGCAAAATCCCTTCCTGGCTTGGTTTTCTTCTTTGTGTCAATTGGCTAGCTCTAAAGGCATTGGATTTCCAACCCCTGACCTATTTGCAATTAAAGAGATATGCTGCTGGAAAAGATCAGCTGCCTAACAGCGTTCTGTAATGTGGCCAAAATTTTTACTAGGCATAGACTGACAATCCCAACAGAGGCATTGGAAAGGAGAGAAGCACTACTATTTTGACAGCTGCCGTTTTCTAAGACATTGGGGGTACATATATATGCCCCTCTTTAATTAATCTCAAAATAGTCCAAATATGAGACTAAAATATCTAAAAAATATTGAATTTAACAATGAAGTATGGGAAGTAAAGTTGAATTTTTAGGGTAACAACAACCTTCTCTCTCTCACAAGTCTCTACCTTCAAAGATAAAAACATAACAGCTAGTCTCATTGAGCAGCCATCTGGGCTAAGAACTGAAGGAGACGAGGGAAGGAGCCACAGGACCATGTAGGAGGACACTCCAGACAGATGGCCAGTACAAAGGCCTGCAGCAGGTGTGGCCCAGGTGTGTTTGAGGAACAGCAAGAGGCTAGCGTGCCTACAGTGGGATGATACACATGGAGCAAGAGGAAGCGGGGCCAGGGGTAACAGGGTAGGCATGGGACAGACTGTGCAGGCCTCAGTGTGAGGAGGCTCCTTCACAGAGGAGTGCCACGACCTGGGTTTTAAAAGTATTTTTCTGCTGGCTGCAATAAACTAGGCAAGAGGTAAAGAAGGCTCAGACAGAAGGTGATGGTGGTGAAATTAGTGGGAAATGACCAGATGCTAAATATATCCCAAAGATAGGGCAGGTAGGATTACTAACAGATTGGAGGTGGGTGGGGAAAACAGATGAGTCAGTGCTAACTCCAAGGTTTCTGGCCCAAGATGCTGGAAAGATGATGTTGTCATCTACTAAGATGGGGAAGAGAGAAAGGGAGGAGATTTGGGATGTGTTAGGTTTGAAATGTCTATTAGACAATCCAAGAAGGGATCTTAAATTTGCAGCTGGATAAATGAGTCTGGGATTCAAGGGAAGTGCCTTGCCCAGCGATGTCACTTTTAGGAGGCATCAACATTTAGACAGTACAGTCCCCAACTTACATAATGGTTTGACTTATGATTTTTTGACCTTACAATGTTGCAAAAGCAATACATATTCAGTAGAAACCATACTTCAAATTTTGATCTTTTCCAGCTAGTGACAAGCAGTACCATACTCTTCAGCAATGCCTGACAGTGGCAGCGAGCCATGGTGCCCAGTCGGCCACGCAATCACGAGAGTGAACAACAGATACTCTACAGTGTACTGTGTTGCCAGATGATTTTGCCCAGCTATAGGCTAACATAAGTGTTCTGAGCATGTTTCAGGTAGGCTAGGCTAAGCTACGATGTTCAGTAGGTGTATTAAATGTATTCAACTTAGGATATTTTCAACTCACAATGGGTTTGTTGGGACATGACCCCATTGTAAGTGGAGGAGCATCTATATTTAAAGCCATGGGACTTGACATGTTCACCAAGTAAGTATGTGTAGCATGAAAAGAGAAGAGGCCAAAGATGGAGGCGGAGAATGTCACTTTGAAGAGGAAAAGACAAATAAACAGCGAAGATGACAGAGGGGGACAGGTCAGTGAGGTCATTTCCTGTAAAGGTACAACTAGTGGCTCTTGTCTACATTTATATTATTATTTTAAGTCTGCTATCAGATAAAGACCACATATAAATTTTCTATAGATGCTGAGTTGGAGTATGTTACTTTTTTAAAAAACAAATGCAGTTAAAGGTACTAAAGTACTGAGTTATAAAATCTAACACTACCATTTGATCTTTTCAAATGAAAATATAGTTTTTTATTCAAAGAAACTTTTCTATAGAACTATATATCCCAGCAAAACAGAAGCTTTGAAGCAGAAGAAAATAAAAGCATACTTACCTCCAAAGATTTAAGGAATGGCAGTGACTCAATAAAGCTTTCATACATTTTTCTCTTTTTGGCATTATTTTTTACAATTATTCTCCTGAAGGTTACCCTGTCCTAAAGGCAGAATATCAAATAAAAAGAGAGTTAAAAGGTAGATTTTAGGAGGAAAGGGGGAAAAAGGTCTGAACAAATAGTTTTATTTTATTCCCTATAAGAAACAAATAATAATCGAAGATTTTGAAATAAAAGATTAACACCATTATACTTTTAATGCAACTCATTTCATATTCTTATGTCTTCAAGCACAAAATATAATGTAGAACCATATATAAAATATTTTCTTTTTTTTTAAAGGAAAATCAGCTTTACTCTTATTAATATTTGTAAGGGAAGTCTGACTAACATGTTGGGCTATACCCACAAGGAGGCACTGTCGTACCATTTAAAAAAATGCATCCTAGCACCGTGTTCCTTTACTGTGGATAGCAGCCCTAGAGGGGTGAAAATCAATTAGGCAAGACGTAACCATTTTTATAAAAAATAAAGTAGAACAAAATCTCGGAGTACATTCCTCATAGTAAAGTATTGTTTTCTTAAATAACAGTCATACACAAACAAATGCATCACAAATGTTGTGATGTTACTAATGTGTTTCTTAATCTTGGTTGAAGTGAAAAACATGGAAAACTATTAAAGAAATGTTTTAAATCGTAAAGCAATTATAATGTGAGAGATCTTGAAAAATTAGATGCTTTAGGTTCTTTTGCATACCCATGAAATGTCAGAATTTTCTTTTTACATATGTAAAGGCACACAGAAACTACTTTCTTCTCAAATAAGGTCTAATTCCAGTGTTTGTCATGTTCCTAGTCTAATATGTTCCTATTTATGTTTATATTATATAACCTCAAAATTATGGAACTCAACTAAGGAACTGGGAAAATTTTTAAGGATAACAGCTCAAAAAACAATTTTCCTAAAAATTTTATTTTGAAAAATTTCTTATAAAACATTATTTTAATTCTTAAATAAAAGTTCCCATATTTATGTTAGTTTGACATTCATTGTTAAATAATTACACCATTTTAATAAAATAAAAATTGGGATACGTTATTTAATAAATTACTACACCAACATATTAAGGCTAAATTTAAATGAAAACATACAATGGGGAAAAATGCCAGTGTAGATGTAAGCCTCTAGGTGCGATGGACTGAATGTCTGTGTCCCCCCACATTTCATATGTTGAAGTCCTAACCCCTCAACACGATGGTATTAGGTGGTGAGGCCTTTGGGAGATGATTAGGTCATGAGGGTAGAGCCTCATGAATGGTATCAGTGCCCTTATAAAAAGGGATCCCAGGGAGCTCCCTCCCCACTTCCACCAGGTGAGAACACAGATAGAAGATGCCATCTGGGAAAGAGGAAGCAGGCCCTCACCAGACACGGAATCTTTTGTCATTGCCTTGTCTGGACTTCTCAGCCTCCAGAACTGTGAGAAATAAATGTTTGTTGTTTAAGCCACCCGTTCTATTGTAGTTTGTTACAGCAGCCCAAAAGGACTAAGGCACTAGAAAATTAAACATCCCGTTCCCCAATTTACTTTGTTATAATTTTGATATTGGCTGTAATCTGGACTTGTTGTACTCTTACTAATTTATTAAAAAGAGAAAATTTTACAAGATAATTCACACAAATATTGACATCAATTCCAATTTCAATCATTTCTGGCTTTGCATCTGAATTATTTAAAAGGAGTTCTGAGATCCCAGACATTAATGACTGAAAGTCTTTGTATATTGGGCTCTACAATCTATGTTTCCTAAAAGCTTCCCATAACCTGATTGTATACCTGATAAGATGGTTTATGGACAGAGTTTACTGCAAAACAGAGAAGACCCAAAATAGTTTAGCAATTTGGAAATTAATCATAATGAATTACATCTCTCAGAAACAATTTTCTATTAGTGACCCAACTCTTCACATCCACTGTGACATATAAAGTCCAGAATTTTAAATGCTTTCATCCTAAAGTCATTTCAATAATCATCTCTCTGAGTTATCTGAATGGCCATGTAGATCCAGTTAATCCCCTAAGGCTAACAGTGACCAAGTATCATTTACAGAGTTAGTCTATTCTATAAAGGACTTTTCCCTTAGGATTTGCTTATCTTTACCGCACTTACATGGCCGAGTCCCAGTCTGTTGACCTCAAAATAAAAACTACTTTTCTACTCGTCTTTCCTGAGAAGGTGTTAGGTAGACTTAAAAACCAGGTTTGAAATATTAAGTAATTATGTTAATTATTCTAATTTTTTAAAAAAGCTATTGTACTTACACATAAAGTGATTTTCACAAACTGCACTGCCCACTTTTATAATGTTAATAACATGGATAGACTACTGTAATAAAATCTCTAAAAATGATTAATCCTTCTTGGGAGCTTAAATGTTACACATACTGGGAAATTCTGGGCCTAATTATATTAATACTTAATTATGGTTTCTACCAGGGCTGAAAACTATACATAATCAAAGAGGACAACCCACAAAATATTTAATCTTATTCTGAGGATGTGCAAGAAGGAAGCTTCTTTGCTGTGTGACAATCTGACCCTGGCTGGCAACACCATAGGGGTGAGTACATTTTAAAATTATACCTTCCTTAATAAAATAGGTTATGGTAGACTCTAGATTCATCCCACCACTTTGATGACAGCCAAACACTTCCTGTGGACCAAGGTCTGCACTGGTTTAGAGTTTTTTTCTTTGCTAGCTTTGGGTATTCAAATCTTTGATAGTCCTTAAAACACTTCAGATGAGTTTCCTTCCACCTGAAACAATGCCAATTTTTCTTCTAATTCTTAAAAAAGTGACTCATCACATTTTTAATAAGTATACAGTTATGCCTGGTCCTAATAAAAAAATGTAGAATGTCTTGTTTCGCTGATCAAGAGATATTTTTATCAGCTGAATCCACTTCATGCTGAATTGTGACTAAATACCATGTGACTTATGTAATGCTATATACAGGAGTCCTTGGAAATAAGACTGTTAACCAACTTCACATTTATTTCAACCTCTTTTCCTTCCACAAAAGGATTTGAGAGAAATAACCTAATAAACGCACATCAGTACTGTAGGGAGGGTGGTTTTCAACAATTTAAAAAGAAAATACATCTATTGTAAACATTCCCCTAAATGCGTGCCGCTTAAAGAGTGGTCTCACACCAAGCAGCACTGGCATCTCCTGGGAGCTTAGGAGAAATGCAGAATCACAAGCCTCACCCCCAGACCCACTGAATCAAAATCTGCATCTCTCAGAATCACCTTTAGTAGTACTGAATGACTGCATCCTATTATATGTGAAAAGACTCTCCCCCCGACCCCTGTCCCCTTGCCCAAATATATCTTCAAATCCGCTAAGTCTTGCAGAAACACCACCATTGAGAAACGTATTTAGAAGTAATAACTCACAGGTCGCACAGCTGGAGATTCTGATTGAATTTGTCTGCAGGGGGGCCTAGCCAAGAGGATTTTGTTAATACTCCAGGTAATTCTGATGTGCAGCTCCATGAGAAGCACTGGCACCAAGCATTTTTTCTCTACACAGCTGCTTTTAAATGCAAAGTTGTTACCAATCAATTTATACCACCAAGGGAATCAGTTTATATTGGCTTCTCAAACTCTAGCATGCACCAGAATCACCTGGAAGGCTTGGTCAAACACAGATTGCTGGGCCCCATCTCCAGAATTTGTGATTTAGTAGGTCAGAATCAGCAGGTAGGGCCCGGAGCTGGCATTTCTAACAAGTTCCCAGGTGATATGGATGGCGCTGTTCAGTGGACCACACTGTGGGAACCACCAATTTATCAGATTATAATACTTAGCTCAGAAAGCTATCTGAGAAAAAGCCCTGAAGGCTTTGTTTGTGTGGGTGGTTACTTTTAAAAGCGGGTAAGACAGGAACATTTTAAATCTGAGCGTCCTTCCCAGGGCCAGCAGGTCCCCAGCCCATGACTTGACTGGAGGAGGGAGGGAAAGGACACAGAGATTTGACTTAGCACAACCTTCCTGCCCCACAGTTCAGCATAATAAATTCCCCAGTGACCGATGATCCCTATTAGAATTGAAGTACTGTATCTACCTGGCTACTGTCATAACAATTGTTACAAATGACAACATTCAGGTCAAATAAATATTTCACTCACCAAACCCCACAGAGCACCAGGAGAGGTAGCAGTGATTGTAGCTGCTCTGGGTGTATTGTACATTAAGGCCAGTTCGCCGAAACTCCCGCGATTATCGTAGTTACCAACACATCTTCCAACACCATCACATTTGACATAAATATCAAATGTTCCTCTGTTGGGCATATGTAAATTAGAGGTAAAAGTAATTCAAGTAAAATCTCATTAAAATGAAACATTATTTCAGAAAAGAGCCCTGTGCAATAAAACCTGATTTCTAGCCTATCTATTCCCTCTGATGACAAGTAATAAAAGGGCATCCATATGTGCCGATCTGTTCCAGACCATGTGCCTGATAGGAAAATGGGATTAAACAATAAAAACTTAAGAGAACACAATAAATGATAAAAATATAATTAAGAATACAACCAACTAGTATATGCATAGAAAATCATCTGAAAAATATATATCAAACCACTGACTATAGTTACTAATATAATATAGTTTTTAATATAATTCATAAATAAAATGACTGTTTCAAGGATATCTTTCTAGAATTTGTTCCATGGATAATTATTTTTCAAGTACAGGTTGCGTATTGCTTATATCCAAAATGCTTGGGACTGGAAATCATTCAAATTGTGGATTTTGGGGGGTTGAGGAATATTTGCATATATATAATGAAATATCTTGATGGAACCCAAATATTAACATAAAATTCATTTTATGTTCATTTTATAACATAAAATTCATTTGTTTCACATATACTTTATACACATAGTCTGAAGATAATTTTATGTAACATTTTTAATAATTTTGTGCAAGAAACAAAGTTTGTGCACATTGAACCATCAGAAAGCAAAGGTGTCATTATCTCAGCCATCCACGCGGACAGTCTGGTTGTTTGGTATCCCATCATTCCCGACTCTGAATTTATTATATATGCTACCAATAAGCAATCATTTTCTTATGCTTATTCACACATAAGTACTTAACAGTAAAAAAATATGACATACCATTAATACAGCTGAAAAAATACTGTAATGTATGGCTGGCCACGGTGGCTCATGCCTGTAATCCTAGCACTCTGGGAGGCCGAGGCGGGAGGACTGCCCAGCTTGAGCAAGAGCGAGACCCCGTCTCTACTAAAAATAGAAAAATTAGCTGGGCATCGTGGCACATGCCTGTAGTCCCAGCTACTCGGGAGGCTGAGGCAGCAGGATCGCTTGAGCCCAAGAGTTTGAAGTTGCTGTGAGCTATGATGACACCACCGCACCCTACCCAGGGCAACTGAGCAAGACTCTGTCTCAAAAAAAAAAAAAAAAAAAATTTACGTGTTCAGGGTAACTAGGCATAGTAGTATCATCAGCATACCTGTATCAGCTTTAAACAGCAACAACAAACAATGGCAGGCTTTCGGTCTCCAGCTACGAGGCTGTGTTTTGATTAGAAGATTACTGTATGCCGTACAGTAACCCCCTTGAGGATGCTGAATAAACTGCATTGTGTGCCTGTGTTTTGACTGCGATCCATCACAAGGTCAAGTGTGGAATTTTCCACTTGTGGTGTCACGCTGGCACTCAAAAAGTTTTGGGTTTTGGAGCACTTTGGATTTTCAGATTAGGGATGCTGTATAAATTAAACTCTTCTATTTATACTGTTTACACTTCTCCACTGAAAATGTTTTCTACACTTACTACTTTGAATAGGGTAAAATATAACACAAGAAAATGTGATGATAAGTAATAGGAGCTACCAGTCCAGCTGAAATCACAGCAGTCTAAAGTCTGTTAAAGTGTCGTGTGCCGCTTTTCATACAGGTTTCTTCCCTGATGATGTGAGGCCTCAGGCAGTGCAGAGCCACGGAAAGGGCATGAACAGGGCCAGGAGACCTGGCTGTGGGGCTGGCTCTATGTTGATCATTTGGGTAATCTTAACCGTGTCCCATCGCATCTATGGGCCTCAGTATTTTCACCTGTCAAGTGGGTGATGAGGATCTAACTGAAAATGGAATGTACTATATACAAATGGAAGACAGTTTTATAGTCAAAAATACCCACTAAAGGATTATTAATACTGTATTATATTGGGGCTTCTCATAGTCCCCTACAATTAAACACAAACAGTTGAACTTCTGATGTATTTCATTGATGAAAACTATTCATGATACCAAAATCATGACTTTGATTTATATATGGGATAACTGGTTTTTTTCTATTTTAAAATCCCGGCTACTACCTCAGTAATAGGTCACTGAGCACTAGGGATGAGGGAATGGAGGTATCGGTAAAAACCCGTGACTTAAGAGCATGCATGACTGACACATGAAAGGTACCACCCATAGCGCCAAGATCAAGAATGAGGCTTAAGGAAACAGAAGAGGTAATTTTCAGCAAGGCCTCTGAGTTGAACACAGCTCTACCCAGATAGCAAATGTAATCCAATAAATCAGGCTGGGAGGTGACCTGCGTTCTACGCAAAATGGGAGGGGTTAGGGATACCAGTTGTCTTATGAGCACTCGATCATCATGTTATAAAAGCGAAGAAATAAAGACTCGGTTCAGACTGTGCCCCTATTACATTTTAGGACTCGTCTATTTACCACATAAGACACAGTATTCTTTTATGAGGTAAAGCACAACTTAAATTTTCTGAAAATAGATTTTCAATATAAATGCATACCTTCTCATTTAAATAAAATAATTTCTCTAGAAATATTTTTAAAAACAAATATAATAATGCACAAACAACTTCTGGAAGGACATACAAGCTACTCACTATACTGACCGAATGATGCTGAAGCAGCAAGATGACTTACTTTTCACATTATGCCTGTCTAAAATATTTGAAATTTTTATTTTTTTCTTTTTCTTTTTGATTTAGAGACAGGGGCTCACTCTGTCACCCAGGCTGGGCTCAAGCAATCCTCCCACCTCAACCTCTGGAAGTAGCTGAAACTATAGGTGCATGCTACCACACCAGGCTAATTTATAAATTTTTTTTTTGAGACAGGCTCTCTCTTGTTACCCAGGCTGGTCTTGAACACCTGGCCTTAAGCGATCCTCCAGCCTCAGCCTCCCAAAGTGCTGGGATTACAGGTGTGAGCCACTGTGCCTGGACTATTTGAAATTTTCAAACCATGAGCATGTTTTGCTTTTACAGTTAATAAAAAAGAACCTTTAAAAAAAAACCAGATTATACTGTGATTTAACATCTTAGATGCTGCATTATACTCCTCTTCTCACTGTAATAGGCATCTATTGCATGCTGATACTATTACATACTATCTCTGAAATACAGTTTAGCAAATGAGGACACTCACATTAAATGACTGAGATTTATAAATTATACTAACCAAAAGTCATCAGTTGCTCTATAAACTATGCTTCTTTTCATGATCTACTATGGTTTCACTGTATGTATTCACAACAGGTTTACAGTGCCTATTACGTAGTAATAAGAGTAAAGAGACAATAGCAACTATCATATATTAACTTGTCAGTTGCCATAATAACCATTGAGATTTTATACAAAAGTTTCTTTAAATTTCAGTGTAATGTTGGGCCAAACTTACCTGTCAATTACATAAAAGTTGTCACCATCATCACCTTGATCAATTACATGTTCCCCATCTTTGACCAACTTTTCAAACATGGCATCTAATACTTGAGACATCTGTTCCTATTTTTTAAAAAGATAAGATAGAATCTTTATCTAGAAAATGTTTTCTTAAGTAACCATAATTACCCCTTATATTTCTGTGAACAAGCTCAAGGAAATGGAAATATCGTCATTGCCATTAAGTCTTGTTAGAAAAACACATAGTATTAAAAAAAAGAAAGAAAAATACATAGTATAGTGTTTCTTACCACGTACAAGCAAGATGATTATATATTTACTCATATTCAGTATCTGAATGAAAGTAATTATAATTAGTCTCAGAATATTTACAACTAACACCACTTTAAAAAGAAAAAATAACCACCGTACCACCATACACCTTGTGAAATGACCAGGTTAGTAAAAACAGTTTCAAATTTCTTTTCAAGATACCTGTTTTTAAAACTTCCCTATATTAGTCATCACTAGGATTTATGTAGAAATCTCCTAAATATTTAGTGAATTTAGATCCTAACTCTAATTCTGCTTTTTGGTTTAGCCCCAAAACCAAAATAGAACAAAACAGAAAAACAACAAAAGCAAAACCAAAAATGACTGTGGCAAATATTCTTTCACTATTCTTTGTCACTAAGATTCTCTTCAAAAAGCAACCATTTTTTCATATGTTTGTTGACCATTTGTCTATCTTCTTTCAAAAAACTTCTCTTTGTGTTATTTGCACACTTTTTGATGGGTTTGTTTGGTTTTTTTTCTTGATTTGTTTGAGTTCTTTCTAGATTCTGGATTATCGGTCCCTTGTCAGATGTATCATTTGCAAATATTTTCTCCCATTCTGTAGGTTGTCTATTCACTCTGTTCATTATTTGCTTAGCTGTGCAGAAGCCTTTTAATTTCATTAAGTCCCATTTATTTATTTTTGTTGTTGCTATATTTGCCTTCCGGGTCTTAGTCATAAATTCTTTGCCTAAGCTGATGTCTAGAAGAGTTTTTCCTACATTTTCTTCCAGAATTTGTATGGTTTCATGCCTTACATTTAAGTCTTTAATCCATCTTGAATTAATTTTTGTATAGGGTGAGAAATAGGGATCCTATTTCATTCTTCTGCATGGCTATCCAATTTTCCCAGCACCATCACTAATCATCAGGGAAATACAAATTAAAACTATAATGAGATACCGTCTTACCCTTATCAGAATGGCCATTACTAAAAAGTTAAAAAACAATTGATGTCGGTGTGGAGGCAAAGAGAAAGGAATGCTTATACACTGTTGGTGGGACTGAAAATTAGTATAATATCTATGGAAAACAGTGGGGAGACTCCTCAAAGAAATAAATGTAGACCCATCATTTGATCCAGGAATCCCACTCCTGAGTACCTACCCAAAGGAAATAAAATGATTTTATCAAAAAGACACCTGCACTGGAATGTTTATTGCAGCACAATTCACAATTGCAAAGATGTGGAATCAACCTAAGTGCCCATCAATTCATGAGTGAATAATGAAAATGTGGTGTGTATATATATACCATTGAGTACTACTTAGCCACAAAAAGAAATGAAATAGTGTCTTTTACAGCAACATGGAGGGAACTAGAGGCCATTATCCTAAGTGAAGTTATCTCAGGAATGGAAAACCAAACATCATTTGGTCTCACTAATTAGAGAGAGCTAATAGATGGGTACACACAGGCACAAATTAACACAAAGGACATAAGAAACCAAGGGGGGAGGGAAGAAGGGCGGGAGGTGTGTGTGGGATAAAAACTTAGCTATTGGGTACAATGAACACTATTCTGATGATGGGCACACCAAAACCCCTGACTTAAGCATTATACGAGATACCCTCGTAACAAAAACACTTGTGCCCCCTTAATTGATATTTTGAAATAAAAAACAAAAAAATTAAAATTAAAAAAAAGCAACCATTCACCTTACTAGTGCAGATTTGTCAGAAACATCAAAACTATTATTCAGCTACTTAAACTACATAAAATTTGAATTGGCTAAAGTGTGGTTGAAAAAGCTCAAAGATAAACTTCAGCAAATGAGAATAAACTAGGAGGTGAAAGAAATCTTTCCCCAGAACAGATACAGGAACAATTCAAAGACCTTTGAATAGACAGAACAAATGGATATGGAGAAAAAGTGCAGTACAATAGTAACAGAAAATTTTAGAGCATTATTTGCTCTGCCACTTATTAGCTCTGAGCCCTTGGTCAAGACATTCCCTCTGGGTATAAAAAGGGTATAACACTAACTGCTCAGGCCAAAACCAATCATCATTATTTTAAGTAAATTCAGGAGCTAAAGATAGATTCAAGGGGGAAAAAGAGATGCAAGGGGGAAACGGGCTGAAGAAACAAGATATTCTCTATTAAAAGATAACAGATCACATGTGATTCTCTTCCTTTTGAGACTCCATTAGAATTTTATAGGGACTAGGAAGATAGGAATCCACAACAGTATACAGCACAGGAAGGGGCAGCTGACGGATGAGAGAGTTCCAGGGCAAAGGTAAGTTAAATGTGGCAGAGGGAGCAGGCCAGAGTGGCACAGATGAGCGTGGAGGGGCCGACATGCCCTGCAGGGCACCAGGAAACTCCAGACTGGGAAATACCTGGTTCTCTCATGGTGAGAATGAGACACACAGATTGAAAACAAACGGATTGATTTAAAGTCCTTACAGGGATCAGTCTACACCTTCCTTCAAAATCTCTCTACCCTGAACACAGAACGCCCGGCATACAAGTGTTGACCCCAACTCTTCCCAGGCAAAAGATCAGAAAGAAACTGAACAAATTAGAGAGAACTAGAACAGATACTGTGAACACTGGTGCCCTGGGACAAAGACCTTCACTTGTTGGGATTCAGGGGTTCCCCAATGTAGCAGCTGGCTCCCTGTCAGCTCAACCTACACAGTGCATTGGTTGACAGGCCCGGCCTACTTACTCAGAGCTCTCAATCAGCTTTTTATTGCTCCTCTGGTCACCTACAGGACTAAGATAAACAGCAAAACATCACATGAGATAGATATTTCAGGAACAGTAGAGAGCTTTTAGAAAGTTCTACTTGTATACCTAGAGACATTCAAGATGATATTGCATCTATGAGACAAAAAATACATATATACAATGTTTAGAAAAAGAGCATTAGAGAAAAATGGGTAACTTGTGAATTAAAAAACAGGATTGCCAATTTTTTCCTTTAAAATAGACTTTTTAAAAGCAATTTTAGGTTTATAGAAAAATTGAACAGAAAGACATCCCATATATTCCCTGCCCCCACACATGCACAGCCTCCCCCACATCTCCCATTCCTTACAACTGATGCCCCTACACTGACATCATTGTCACTCAAAGTCCATAGTTTATGTTAGTGTTTACTCTCGGTGTTGTAAATTATATGGGTTTGACAAATGTGCAATGACACATAACCACCATTACAAAAATTTTTTGAAGA